GGCGGGGGGGACAGCATATTAAAAAAATTTTTGTTTAATTTCGAGTTGTGTTGTGTCCAGTTGAAATAATTTGATATTTATCAAGGGATGCTTTGATAGGGCAATATACAAAATAATCCATTTAATAATTTATTTACAAAATACATTCTCCAAATTGTATTTAACTACAAAGAAGCAATATGAGCTACAAAGGTTAGCCACATAGACAGCCATACTACCATTACACATTATAGCAATATTCATACATGAAGACATTTCATTCTTTATGGTACATAATGTTAAGTGGATGAAGTCCAGTACAATACATTAATACAGATGTAGGTCTTCTAAAGGGTTTTGAGTGAAATCTATGGATCCAGAGCCAAACTTTTCCATGACTTTGCTTGTTTTCTCTTGTACTGCTCCAGCTCCTGAGAAAAAAAACACAAAAAAATACAATGCAATGTTTCTTCTCTAATACATTAAATACATTTGTGTACCTGATAGTTTAACTAAAGTGCAGTCAATCAGATTTCTACATTTTCTAAAAACTATAAACATGTTGTAAACTTGTTAAAAGTTGTTTAATGTGTAGAAAATCATTCAATTATAAGATTATATTATTTTTAAATATTACATAATAGCATAATTTAACATGTTATACTCTAGAATTTGTGTACAAAAACTGCAATCTGAGCGATTAAACTGCAATAGTGACCCCCTGCCACATATTGTCTGATTACTGCAATCACTAAGCACTGAATCAGAGTAGGTGAGAAGCTACTGAAGGGCAATGAGTGTGAGGTTCAGGGTAACTTTCAGTCACGTACTATACTCTAGAGGATCAGTTAATGGCAACAGTACTGAGTCAGTTTTACTGCTGGGTTATATACACACACATGACTAGAGGTTACTAGAAGACAAATATTTGCTGAAGGGTGATTTTACAGTGACAATAATTATTTTACCTGGTCTTTCTGAGCTCTGATAGAGTCTATAAGGGGCTCACTGTACTGGGGGTCTTTGGCAGGATCTTTCAGCTCCTTACGTTCCTTGATGTTCTGAAGACAAAAAGGTCAGGGGTCAGGCAGACATTATTGACCATTATCATTGTTTACACAGCAGGAAACTGTACCTCAGGTGGGAAAACCCTTTCAAAAACCTTTTTCCAAAGGTCTAATGGGTTTTTGGCATGAAGAGTCCCGATATCAACATCAGAGGTTACAGGCGGGCCTAGAAGATGAATGAATTAAAAATATTTTGAACACCTACATATGTGACCCTGGACCAAATTAAGTGTCAATTTTTCGAAATTGAGATTTATGCATCATCTGAAAGCTGAATAAATAAGCTTTCTGTTGATGTATGGTTTGTTAGGATAGGACAATATTTGGTCAATGAGATACAACTATTTGAATATCTGGAATCTGAGGGTGCAAAAAAATCTAAATATTGAGAAAATCACATTTAAAGTTGTCCAAATGAAGTTCTTAGCAATGCATATTACTAATCAAAAATTAAGTTTTAATATATTTACAGTAGGAAATTTACTAAATATCTTCATGGAACATGATCTTTACTTAATATCCTAATGATTTTTGGCATAAAAGAAAAATCGATAATTTTGACCCATACAATGTATTTTTGGCTATTGCTACAAATATACCCCAGCGACTTAAGACTGGTTTTGTGGTCCAGGGTCACAATTTGTCTGACCGCCCTGTTAAAGAAATGATACAGCAAAGAAAGACTGGAAATCCATAAATTAAGCAATTTTTCAGTCTTGAATAAAATACTTATTTACATCAACATTTCTTTTGACTAGTCCAGATTTTGTTATTTATTTTCCACTAAGCACTGGTTTATTGAGGATGTTTTTTCCGTTTATATTCTATGTTCATTTTCTCTGGTACTTCAATGAAGAATTACATTCTACCCTCTTACCCCTCCATTTACTCTGTTTAATATCTCCTCAGCTGCCCATAAATTTTATTGATTGCGGAGTGTGTCTGTTTTTGTGTGTGCTGCCCAACCTTGCACTTTCCCTTATTAGTAATAGGAGAATGCATTCTGTGCTTGCTCATTATATTTACTACATTTCTCCTGACCTTGGCCAAAGTAACATCCAGAAATTCTCACTGGAAGAAACTGTCCACAGACCAGATGTTTGAGAAGTGATTTAAACCTAGAAGAGAAACAAAGTATTAGGAATTTGAAAATGTTGGAAACAAATGAACGTTATGACAGAAAACGAATTAAAAAAATATCATCAGGTTTTACGCAAACTTGTGAAGTTTATTCCGAATGATGCGGTCACTACAGCCAAAGACAAACAAACTAAATATTAGAACATTCTGAAATTAATGTCAATTTTTAAACTAAACTTTTCACTTAAATTTTGCTGATAATAATCAATCAATCAATAAATAAATGTATAATTAAAAATAAATGTATAATAAAAAAATAATAATAAATAAAATGTATTTCAAAATGTAATTAAAATAAATAAATAAATATAATTTGGGATAAAACAATATATATATATATTTTCTTATTTTATCTAAGGATAAAAAATTATATATTTTAATAATATATTAAATAAAAAATAATATATTTTCCCAGTCACATCAGACTAATGATTCAGACACATTAGTGAAATCTCACTCTGATCATAAATCTGGACAATGTATGCACAGATATAATATGACGTGAGATGCCCCTGTGGGTGAGAACACGAGAAGTTTCTCACATTTTATGTGATATCACACTTTTCTGTCTTGCGCAGTATCACTGCATCATTATCTCTATGTTATTTCTCAGCAGGGTAACTGACATTACAACACTGCGGCTGATTTATTTCAGGTCACGATCCCTGTAGATTCAAGGCTTGTTGTGTGTCTGTGAACAAATAATATATAATATTTCTCAAGAGTTGGTCTGAGGCCAGTTTTCAGCTTTCTCTAAATCCTAAACTTAATATTAAAAGCGGGAAAGAGGAAATGGAAAAAATAAGGAATAATAACTCAGCAGCAAGGGAATCATACTGATAACCAGCTAAAGTCATTATATTAATTCCAGCCAAAATGAGGCTACGTCTCCCAGAGTTCACCTATTTTACACACCCCCTGCGGACCCAGTTCTGTCGTTTTCGGCCGTTTTAAGATTGTTTCTAGCATGATAAAGTGCTTGAGACTTGCATAAACGCTTGCTATTTTTCACAAGTGACTTTAACAAGCCAAACACACGTTCTGGTGTTGACCAGAAGTTTATAACCCTCTACCTGGGTAGGTCTCACAGGGGTGTGCACAGGTTGTAGTTCCTTCCTTAACGTCTCTTCTTACCTCGCTCTTTCCAATACATCACCATGCTAGCCTTCAGTTACGTTTATAGAGTTGTTGTAAAGGGTCAAGCAGTATTTCTGATAGGGAAATCTTTCATTTCCATCTTTTTGGAGAGTTTTCCAGTGAATACAAGGCACCCTGACAGGCTATTAATGGAAATGTCTGGCCCGGACAGCTCAGACATGCGTCTTCCTTTGCCTCTGTCACCTCATGCGATTTACATCACACTAGGCTGTTGTGTTTGGCATCAGAGCACAGGCACTTTCTAGACTGCATGCAGATTCAGAGAGCCATAGAGAGGACATCTCATTTTCACAGGACATAAAAGAGACAATATTCCTATTTTCAAAGTAGAGGAAAATACTTCACACTATCTTAGTCATCTAGTCTCAAAACATGCTGTTTTTCTAAGGGAGAGTGAGTGTCTTATGACCTTCCCAGTTCCTAAAAAATATCACTTGGGTCGGATTGTACTGGACTGATAAACACTAGAAAAAAAAATGTGTGCAGACAAAAGAACACAGAATGCTGTTTTGTTAGGAGTAAGATCTTGCATATGTCAGAGAGAGAGAGTTGCCAACAAAGGCCAAAATCTGTGCACTGAGGAAAGTCATTATTAGGCTTTAAAAAAGGTTCCTTTCTTCAAGCATTAGTGCTTTTGCTTAAACCTGCAAAACATTTGCTGAGGCCATGCAGTAAACACAACTTGACAGAAAGAAAATATTCCTAAAAATATATGTTAAAATTGCATATACATTTTTTTATTATTTGTCTTTAATGAAATAAAAAATAATGAAATGTATGCATTTATCTTACATCAGACCCGGACACAACTACTCTCCAAATAAATTAATATGTGGACATGAAAGACTAATTTGTTTTAAAATTATTTTAAAATCTTACCTGTATATCTTAAATGAAAGAAACGTCTGCTAAAAATGAAACAATGGAACAAACTGCGAACAAGACAAGACAAAAGTGCAACATTATTAGAATGATATTAATAACATAAAAGAGACAATATTCCTATTTTCAAAGTAGAGGAAAATACTTCACACTATCTTAGTCATCTAGTCTCAAAACATGCTGTTTTTCTAAGGGAGAGTGAGTGTCTTATGACCTTCCCAGTTCCTAAAAAATATCACTTGGGTCGGATTGTACTGGACTGATAAACACTAGAAAAAAAAATGTGTGCAGACAAAAGAACACAGAATGCTGTTTTGTTAGGAGTAAGATCTTGCATATGTCAGAGAGAGAGAGTTGCCAACAAAGGCCAAAATCTGTGCACTGAGGAAAGTCATTATTAGGCTTTAAAAAAGGTTCCTTTCTTCAAGCATTAGTGCTTTTGCCTAAACCTGCAAAACATTTGCTGAGGCCATGCAGTAAACACAACTTGATAGAAAGAAAATATTCCTAAAAATATATGTTAAAATTGCATATACATTTTTTTATTATTTGTCTTTAATGAAATAAAAAATAATGAAATGTATGCATTTATCTTACATCAGACCCGGACACAACTACTCTCCATATAAATTAATATGTGGACATGAAAGACTAATTTGTTTTAAAATTATTTTAAAATCTTACCTGTATATCTTAAATGAAAGAAACGTCTGCTAAAAATGAAACAATGGAACAAACTGCGAACAAGACAAGACAAAAGTGCAACATTATTAGAATGATATTAATATATATATATATATATATATATATATATATATATATATATTATTTTATGTTTTTTATTTTTATATACTGTAAAATATATTTTTTTTTTTTAATTTTATTACAAAGCTGAATTTTCATCATCCATTAGTCCAATCTTCAGTCTCACATGATCCTTCAGAAATCATTCTGATTTATCACTTTTTATTAATTTAACACATAATTTCAACCTTGTTGTAAAAATATTTTCTTAAAAAAAACAAAAAAAACATTACCGACCCCAAACAGTTGAATTGTGTATATTATTACAAAAGATTTATTTTTTAAATAAATGCTGTTCTTTTTTACTTTTTATTCATCGAAGAATCCTGAAAAAAGTATCACAGGTTCCAATAAATATTAGGCAGCAAAAACTGTTTCCAATATTGATAATAAATCAGCATATTAGAATGATTTCTGAAGGATCATGTAACACTGAAGACTGGAGTAATGATGCTGAGAATTCAGCTTTGCATCACAGAAATAGATTATGTTTTAAAGTATATTAAAATAGTAAACCATTATTGTAATAATACTTCATAATATTACTGTTTTTTATGTGTTTTTGATCAAATAAATGCAACTTTATATTAATAATTGTATCCATTAATTCAACAGCTTTTGCAGCAAAATCTTTCTGCAGCAAATAAAAGGTTGTAATGTTGTGATTCACCTCATAGCTGGTTGGTTTGTTTCATGGCTTATACTGTTTTAACGAACACTTTTTAAAATCCCAATTGGGGAAAAAATGGGTGGACACTATATTTCATTGCTCAATGGCCCGATTGACCAATCATAATTAAGTGTTTTTCGATAAATTATAACAATTTATGATGAAAAGTGGAGAGTTTGCAGCGGCATGTTAAGTGTTTATTTGAATAGCCTATATCTTCTGATTTGCATACCAAATTTTAAAGGGGTCATATGATGCTATTTTAAAGATCATTATTTTGTGTATTTGGTGTAACAGGATATGTTGAAATGCTTTAATGTTCAAAAAACACATTATTTTTCAAATACTGTACATTATTGTAGGTCCTCTATGCCCCGCCTATCTCAAACATGTCGTTTTCAACAAAGCCCCCTCCTTTGACAAGCGCAGTCTGCTCTGATTGGCCAGCTGACCCAGTGCATTGTGATTGGCCGAACACCGCAAGCACTCGTAGGAAATGTAACGCCCCTTACCATAATCG